CAGTAAATCTAATGAAACAAGTGTGTGGTGTTGTTGTTGGGGGGGGGGTATCTCAAATTATGGATCTCGGGAAACCATAACTCAGGTGGAAATCTGAAATATTTACAAAGCTGCTGCTCTATTTTTCTTTTTAAAACTTCTCTTTTCCTTTTTAAGAACATGAAGCATGTTAGGCAAACTGGCTTTTTAACCAGAATACATGGACCTGTCCAGTTGCAGAATTTAGGTGTAAATATTTTGAGTTTTTTAACAGAAAAAATATTTTAATCATTAAATTGATCTATGTTGAGACCAGTCAAGTATCTTTAACATGTACTGGTTTTCCTTCTATTAGTAAAAAGAGATGCTGCTAAGGAATTTAGGAACATCACTTGAACAGCCTTTGAAAATTGCTATAAATGCAAAGGGATGCATATTTACAAATCTAACTATTCTTTTGTTGAAGTATTAAGGATAAAGAACATGCTGGTTTTTGCTGAACCCAAAGAAATGTGACAGTGCCCCCTTCAGGTTTTTTAGAAATTTAACAAATAACCGAACTTGTACTCATGGAGCTTATTTAAAGAGGGTGCAGTAATAACAAATTTAAAAAATATCCTCAACAGTAGTTGCCACAGATCTACGCTTAAGCAGACTATTATAAGAAAGTTAGCATGTAAGCAGAAAGGAATGCAGCAAAGAGTTTATAAGTATTTATGTCCACCCATTTATTTATTCTGTGGGCCTTTATTTTGGACATCATTCCTAAATACACTTCTCCTGTTTATTTAACATCTCTGTCCATGTCAAAAGATTCTGTAAACTGGCTCGTTATAAGATTCACATTGTGTAGTCTTTAAATTAACAATTTGGTGTAAATCCAAAAGCAGCCTTTCAGATTATAAAGCTTGCTTTAAACAGAGTGCTAGGACACCTTCTGCCAGTTTTAACTATTGTATATCCAGTTGTTTGCAAAGCAGGCGATGTTCATGGCATCCAGCACGATTCCCTGGAAGCTGCCCAGTATAAACTAATCAGCGAGCCCCCCCTGGTGTCTGAAAGTGTCCTCGGATATTAAATTTATATCAATCACAGGAAGTCTTGGCAATCAAACTAGTCACTTTTTCCCTTCACATCTGGATGTAAATTATTTTTTTGCTGCAAAGGTCACAGGAATCATGGGTAGGGCATGGAACGAGGGCCATAGAAAACATGGGAAAGGAAGAATAAAACTATATTTCCACCTTTTTAGAAATAGTTATTTTTAAATGACCTGGAACATGGCCAAACTATACAACTTTTTTCAAGTTTACATTTGTTGCTGAATTAAATGCGGCTTAAAGATATTTTGTTTTGGAACGCTTTGTGCCCTTAGATCTCATCGTGGCATTTATGAGAGCTTTCTCCTGTTTGTTGAGAACAATGACTTTACTGCGGGATGGCTTCAGAAATGGAGCATGTTTTCTCACTTAGTGGGGTTTAACTGTGCTTTTTTGTATTACTTAACTTCCCTCCATTTCCCCTGCACCCCCACTTCCCCCATACTGTTTTAGCAATGTATTTTGAATTTCTGCTTGGTTGATGCTGGTATTTTTACTGTAAACTTGTGTCCCTTCCCCACCTTCCTTGTGATTTCCAATCTTAAACTTTTTACTTGAAGAAACATAGGAAATGCTCCATTTTATACTCCTGCTTCCCCATCCACCTTTTCAAACAAGAGCTTAGGGAGGGGTTATAAAAGCAAGCAGAACCTTTTCTAGTTGACCCATGGCTTTTCTTAAATTGGACAAGGAAACTAGTGTGCTGAAAGCTACACCACTTGTGAAGCCTGTATTGGAGGGGAAAAAAAAGAAATCCATATTCATGGGAATTAAAAATAGTATTGGCTTACATCTGTTTCTGCCATTTTCTTTGCTGTAGACAGAAGTTTGAGGTGTGTGTGTGGCAAGGGGGCTGAGTTGTTTTGTAGGCAAACTTAAGCAATGAATTTGTACAACTCTCCTTGCTGTTTGTACTTAATGCTGTGTTCAGATTATGCTTTTTCTAATACAGATCGGTCTACCAGCTCGCTGACTACTTATTGAGTTATGTGGGTTACATTTTCTTGAGAAGCAAACGGATTAAATTGGATTGCAGAATCTGATTTCAAGAATTCTCATGCTCATGTGATTTAAATTCTTGGGGTCTCTTCTACGGGCATAAATGCATCTTCCTTTCTCTTTTTTTTTTTCCTCTCCTCTTTGTAGTACTTCCTGTTCCAAGGTCTCTGCCTTTTAGCTAAAGACTGCTGGAAGAGTGTTGCTTGAGCCAGTTCACACTGCTCTGTGAGCAGTCGGAGGGCTGACTGCAAAACTGTTTGAATGACTAGATGGATGGACTGTCCTTTCAGGTTGAGAGAATTACTAAGCATTGAATCTACTCCTGGTTTGGCATCACGTTCCGTGGACTCCCAAGTTGAATCAAATCATGTTAACAGGAACTTCTTGCAGAATCGAACCAATTATGATTATGTATTTAACAGTTAAACATTTCTTTCAAACTTGCACTACAAAGGAAGTAAACACACCAGTAAGTCTTGCAGATCTATTTTAAATACATTAAAGAGGGCTCAGGAAGCAGGAAGAATGTGCTTAATGGGTGTATCTTTTAATTGTGGCTTTTTTTATGATGCAAATCTATGTGAATGAGGATTACATTTTCCCACTGGCAGAGCTTCTGAAAAAAATTCTCTTCAGTTATGGAGTACTTTTTCATAGGAATGGAGTTGTTAAGGATATATGCATTCAGCCCCAACCAGTTAGGGCACAGCAACTCACCCCCCCGGGGTATATTAGGACTCTCTTCTTGGCATTAAGAAAAAAAACTAGGCTTGTAACTAAATATTAACATTTTTCTGAGAGAGCTATTCAGGGAGTATTCTTTGACTGTCTTACTATTGATGATAGTAAAACATCTTATTACTTTTTCCTTTGTTGCATTTCTTTGCATGAACTCCTGTAGAGGGTCCTTGAACCCTTGATATTGTTTTCATTGCCTTAATCGGCATACGGAGCCCTGTAGCTTTTCTCCCTTAATTAAAACTGCTCAAGCTAAGAAACATACTTCTTTGTGAATATCTCATCTTGTTTCAAACTTCTCCTATGTGTAATTTTGCTAACACCTGCTGTGGCTCTTGCATTCTTTGGTTTTTGAACCATGTGTATAGTAACAAGAAAATATGCATCCACTTCTACTGATTGCATTATACAACTTGCAAATAATTGTGCAACGTGTAAGCCTGCAAACGAATGAGGTCTAGTCAGGGAAGCACCAGCATAAACTCTAGTGGTTCGGTTTCAGTTTTAATTTGACCGAAAGCCATTTTTACTGGACTAAACCCAGCTCTAATGCAATCCCTAGTCTGTATTCTTGAAGGCCTATCTGTATTCTTGAAGGCTAATGGAATAGTAAAACCTTCTTAAAGATGACTTAAATGTGTTGTATAGTGTCCTCAGGGTAGCTGCTGCACTAAAGATGTTTTCTTTCCCACCCTGTAGAGGTATCTCATTAAGGTACCCACTAGTGTCATTATTAAGTTTTCATGTGTTTCTCAGTTTTGATGCTAATCTTCGTGTGTGTTAATTTTTTTTTCCTTTGCAGCACCAATGTGGTTATGAATTATTCAGAAATCGAGTCTAAGGTTCGAGAAGCAACCAATGATGATCCGTGGGGACCTTCAGGGCAGCTCATGGGAGAGATTGCCAAGTAAGTGATAATTTGACTCAGCGGTGAAGAAAAGAAAGGTGCATTTTTTATACAGAAATGTAAAATTTGCTGCCAAATCAACTTTGCAGAGTGCAGGTTGACAGAGGGAGAGCTGAGAAATTATTGTAAATTGAGTGTCTCTCTTTTTTTTTTTTAAGGATAAAATCTTAGACTCACTTAATCAAAAGCGTGTCAAGTCAAAAGTCCATTCACTATGGGTTCCTTTTTTCAAAATTCATGTTTCTAATGTATCTGATTTTTTTTTTTTGTGTGTGTGTGTGTAAAGTTTGGAGCATATGAAGGGATCTTATTCAGGTACCCTTATTTGCATATGTTGTTTTAAATGGTATGTTGAGTCCAATTTTTCCTCAGTATTTTTCTTACAGAGGGGTTTGGATATTGCATGGTGGAGTAATAGTCATTTTGCAGACATTTAAGCAATTGATTTGATAAAAATAGATTTTCTTCTAGATTTATAGAATTACGCAGCTCTGGTTTTCAAATGTTCAGCTATAAAATAGCTCTGGATAAGAAAATTTGGTAGCTCTTGGAGGTTGCTGGAATTGCACTGAGTTTAGACTAAGTCTGCCATCTACTGTCAACATTAAATTGTAGCAAACTGTTATCAAAAACTGTTTAAAAAATAATTGCTTTGCTCCTTTTGTTTAATTATTTTAGGGCTACGTTTATGTATGAGCAGTTTCCGGAACTTATGAATATGCTGTGGACTCGAATGTTGAAAGATAATAAAAAGAACTGGAGGAGAGTTTATAAGGTGTGTGTGTGTGTATGTGTGAATTTAAAAAGGGTGTTTTTCTCCCCCTAATTTATTAGTGCACTGAAGAACAAGCACTTCAAAGTTACTTTAATTTTAATATGACAACTTGATGCAGTTTTATGCATATAGTAATATAACTTAAGCATTTCCTTTTATAGTAGCAATTATCTATAATAAACCTGTTCTTTGTCAGACTTTTTTTTCCTGTCTGCTGTTTTTCTTGCAAAGCTAATGCTAACTTCTGTCTTGCTGTGCAATAAAGAGCTTTCTAAAAATTTTTAAATGTTTTTATAATGGGATTCAATGAGCACAGCAGTTTCCTCTTACTGATGCACAAGCCTCAAACAGAATAGCATCTATATTATTATTTAAAATAATCACTTGTCTGTATATTTGTGGGAACACCAATCTTTAATAAATTTAATATTCTCTCTAAGTACTACTTGAAGATTTTGTTCTAAATAAAATGAAATAATTTGGAAACTATTTCTTAACTGCTTAAATTCCCTATGAATTAGGTTGCTGTCCCAACATGGCCCAGGTATTTCTACTAATTGTGGGAATTGTATTTGTTACTAATTGGAGGAAACAAATTTAAAAAAATTTGAATTTTTCCATAATATTGTTTTGCTGTACTTCAAATAATATAAGGAATATTATATTGGTTTTATATAGAGAATACAATCCTTAATGTTGTATAAATTTTGCTTTAATGTTCAGATTGTAACAAGACAGAATTAATTCTGAGGCAAGCTCTGTGTTTTTCTTGGGTGCTCAATGCTTTGTATTTGTAGTATTTGTTTCCCCTAAAGTACAATGTAAATTAATATTTAATGTTATCATACATACTGCTTAATGTTCTAAAGACTTCTTTGAATTAACTACTAGGTTTGAAAGTATGCCATTGAATTGTAACCTCTTTGGTGGTAATAGACTGTTTCATATAGGGTGTATATTTTTTTTCCTAGGTAGAAATTATCGAAGTTCAAGAAAATTCACAATTAGGAGGGAAAAATCATTAAAAAATATTTTTGCTTTTAAGCTTACTCAAATTTACCCAAAAATACTGTTGTGTACATCAGTGCATTCCTGTAGAATGCTGCTTATAGGAAGTTGCCATAAAATGGCTTTTACATTAAAAAAAAATTTCGGGAAATACAAAATAAAAAACAAAGGACAGTTGTGCTGTTTTACAAGGATAGAGTTTCTTAATTGCTGAAATAATCTTTCTGGTAAACCAATAATTGTTTAAGCTAATGATTTATGATCTAATATTACCAATCCGTTTTGGCATTGCTGAACAAATACAATTTAAATTTGACATCTTAGGGGTGGGGAGGAGGAGAAAAGAACTTACTTCTAGGAGAATCAGTCTAATAGTTGCACTTACATGCCGTTGTTTACTAATTTTTAGATTTTAGGCTTGTTTTTTGTGTTGCACTTAAATACTGATAGAGCTTTTGTTCATGCAATCATAAGGTGCTTTGTATTTTTATAGTCTTTGCTGCTCCTAGCTTACCTCATAAGGAATGGATCAGAGCGTGTTGTTACAAGTGCCAGAGAACACATTTATGATTTGCGATCCCTGGAAAATTACCACTTTGTAGGTGAGCATTAGAAAAATCTTATAAGCAAATTAAAACAGTAGTTGGAGTTGTCAGTCACCTGAACCAGCTTAGAAGCTTCCCCGCTCTAATTAGAATGTGACTGTTGCCGGTTGTGTGAAGAGTGCAGAATCCAAGACGTGGGACCCTAGAGTATTAATTAGTGAAGACAAGAACTTGCAGAAAAGACTGGCTAATAACAACAGAACCAACACAACATGAGTGTTCGGGTTTATATTAAAATATGCACTAGAGACTGGTCCCCTGTGGTGTCTGTAAAGGAATATCTTTAATCATATGGGAAGAAAAGGTTAGAGTTCCAAAACACACACATCTGTTTGAAGCTGGGTTTTTTCCTCCCACCAAATAATATTTACAGTGCAAAGGCAGCAGGGCCAGTGTGTGTTTTGAATGTGAAAGAGGCTGGAGAGAGAAGCAAATTTTAGTTTGTAGTGCACCCCAGCTGAAAGCACTTTAAAATTCAGTTTTGCAATAAGACAGTATTCTGGCGGTTAGTGTTTCAAAAACTGCACTAAAAAAAGCTAAGAAACGAGCTTCCTTTTTTTCTGAAATGGTCAAAACTGGAATAAATTATTTGAGTGGAAAAAATAGTTTAAAATCTGGGAAGGTGTTATTTCTGCTAATCGTTTCAAGAGATCATCAGCAGTTAGACCTTTTTAAAAATAAAAACAGCAATGGATAAAAATTAATTTAGCTGAGGACAGTTTCAGTTGAAATAAAACTGAACTAATATTATATTCAATGCCTAGGTTTTTGACAGGTGCAAGGGACCTCAATCTAAGAGGCTTTTCTCAGTTGTTCACTTTGCAATTTTAAATGTTCCCTCATCTAATGCTTTTGGTAGTAACTTGCTGCTTCTGATTTTTCCCCTTCTCCTTCTCCTTCCCTTTGTATACAGACGAGAATGGCAAAGACCAAGGTATTAATATACGTCAAAAAGTGAAAGAAATGGTAGAATTTGCCCAGGATGATGACAGGCTGCGTGAAGAAAGGAAGAAAGCAAAGAAAAACAAAGACAAATACATTGGGGTTTCTTCAGACAGTGTTGGAGGGTTCCGATACAGTGAGTACAGTTGAGTATTCAGTCAAAGACATGGAGGGCAACCAACATCCAGTAATTTTCTTTTCTTCTTTTTTCTAACCTCATGGCTGTACAGCAAAAGGTAAATAAAAGCCAATGGATTTTACTACTTACTGGGAGAATCCTTTCTGGATGCTTGGGGCCAGATCCAAAAGGAAACTTGCACACATGGAATGTAGAGGGCATCCACTTTTATCCTGCTGTGAAAAATGAAGTTGGATATTATAAATCCTAGAGGTCCCATTTCTGCCCACACTTGCACATATGGATAATTCTAAGCATGGGAGTAATTTCACTGAATACAGTGTGACCATAGCTATGCTTAACTTGCTACATTGAATTCTTTGGAAAGTTCTTGTGTGTGTTGTGTTCAGGATCACAGCTTTTGTGATCAGTGGCATGTGACCTTTTATTTGGATGTAAAGTAGGACACCATTCTCTCTGTGGCTTGCAGTATATCTTTTTGAACCTTGAGTAGATGATTGCTTATGAACAGAGTAAGGCAATTCCTTTCTTTGAGGCTAATCAAGCTGCTTCCTTCATGCTCCTAGTCCCTGTTCCAGTAAAGCTAAGGATCTGAGCTTGAAGCCTGTTGGCACCTGGAGCAGTCCAGCACAATGCCTTTGAACAATCAGTGGTCCCTCAAAAAGTCTGCCTTCCCCTCTGTATTCCCTTTGATAATGCTAGAGATTAAGATTATTTTTCACTGAGTAGTAAATTGGGTTCCCACACAGAGAGCTCTGGTGATCCTTTTGCCTTGAGAATATTCAAGATGCAAATGCAGTGGCCAGTTTCACTAGGTGTCTTCTCCATTTCAGAGCTGGCTCATTCTCTGCTAAATTCTGACCTTCTGTGGTGACCAAAGGCAGAATTATCTTTTTGTATGCTCTACATTCTCAAATTCCAGTGTCATCTCATGTCAAATATACCAGAAGGGCATTAATTAGCATCACTTTATTCACCAGCATTCCTATCAGCTTGCTATACCAATGAAAATGCAGTTTCAGCCTGAAATGAGTCTTTGCACTCAAGGCTTTAAATTAGAGATGAACAGTCACCTTAAATGGTAAAAGGAAAAATTTGGCATCTTGTAGCATATTTAGAGAAAATGGTTTTAATATTGTTTTTGTGTTTTATTCCCCTCCCCCCCGTTTCCAAAAATACATTATGAGAGTTCTTTTTTATCAGTGAAATATTGTGCTGCGTCAGGTAACATGCCAAATAAGTTCTGAAACGTGGACAGAATTCATGTTGGAAATTCCTTTTTTTTTTTTTTTTTTTTAAAAAAAAAGCAGATGTGGGAGTTTTTTCTGTGTTTTTTTTTTTCATTGCTTCAGACCACAGTTGGATCTATTAGGCAAGGTTTTTAAACTGCTGTCAGAATTTTTGTTTAAGTGTTTATGGCATACAAGGAAACCCACCAAATACAATCTATATTTAAACAGCTACCAGTTTGATGGAGGCCAAAAATGTCCTTTTAATTCTCCCACAAAAATGAGTTACTCTAACGTGCTTCCTAGCACTTTTTCTGCTTTTTCTGATGGAGAGCTTGTTGTAACTTGATTACTTCACTACTTGTAGATACCTAGGCTATTTTTAAAGAACGGTTCTCCATGTTGTATGCATCTAAAAAGATCAGGCAGCTGGGCCAAAGTGTTCAGCCATTTGATCATATTTTTTGAACTGAGGTTGTCTAACTATTTTCCAGGTTCTGACTGTTCAGACTGAATTGCTGTACTAGTTTCTGATTTTACATAAAAAAGCATTCTTTTTTTTCTTTTGAATAATTCTGGATTTCATAAACTTTTTCTACTGTAGTATTGTGTTTTTTCATTTTTGCATATGCCACTCTTAATTTGTTCTCAGGGCATAATTCTGATTCTTTTGGACCATTCTGAATTGTTAGAATCCATTCACCATTTATTTTATTTTTTTTAAAAGGTTTTAAATGAGCCCATGCCTCAGGGTTTTTTTTAGCTGCCTGATAACATTTCTGTCTGAGTTTCTAAATACTTTAGTGTTTTGAGACAAAAAGTAAAATAATTTTAAGAAGCTAATTTGCCATTCTTGCTGGTTGCTTTCTTGCTCCATTTTACTGAGGTTGGGCAGTAAAACTGGATATTGGCCAGCTGCTTATCTTTAATTTTTGTGCATTACTTTAAGTCATAACTATGGTGATCACAATTTTCAAATGTAGATACCTAAATTCAGGCACCTTAATGCATATTTAAGCACCTAAAGATTTTTCAGGGCTGCCAAATACCAGCCTATTGAAAATCAAGTAACTTTAGAGCTTGAGTTTGTGTTCAAGCCCCTTACTTAAGAGCACAAATTTAGAAAGATTAGGAAATAAGGATTCAGTTTTAGGGTTCCAACAATGCAAGGATTCAAATACATGTTGGTAGTAGGGCATGATTTGGTGGGGGGGGGTGGGCTTTTTGTTTTTACCTTTTTTAGTGTACATCTCAAATTTTGTATGTAATCTATACTTTGGGTGAGCATATGCAAAATATTTGTGGGTAGTTTCAAGCAAACCTCATCACTCTTTGTAAAATAACCGGCAGCCGGGAAGAATTCTAGATACTGGATATTCAAAAGCAAATTTATTTTTGCTAAAAACTTCTTGACTTCTTGATGCTACTGTTCTGTAAAGTAATTAAAGAATGCAGACTGGCTGCTGAGAAGGTAAGTTCCTTCACTTAATAGTTTCTAAATCTTGCTTTGAGGTACAGTAATGGATGCTAGAGGGGTTTTTCACCAATAATGGATGCTAGGAATATTACCATATGTTTTTTACACTTGTCTCTGTTTGGTACCGTGCCCTTATTCATGAGGTTTTAAAATGTATAACATCTTTGATTTACCTCTTAGCACGGCAGCTTGGCTGGGAATGGAGTATTGTGCATTAAGTGACCATTATAGAAGTGGCACATTCCATTTCTGAGAAGTTGCTTATACAGCCAGAGTCATTTCCCTCTCTTACGCTCCTTCTCCAGCAGGGTCGAGCAGTATCCTGATGTGCTGTGCTGTGCACTGCATTAAGGTGGTGTGGTTGTCATAAACAAAAGCTTTTGAATCTGCATTCCTGCCACTTAATGATTGGCATTACATGCTGTGCCGTGCTGTAATAGTGTTGATTCAGCACTGTGGGAGCTTTCAGTTTGCTTTGAAAACTTGTAGCTGTCCTTCTGCGAGAGAGAAACTCTAGAAATGCTGCAGGCGTTTTTGCGGTCATCTTTAGTGTTTCTTGTCTTAATGCGTTATATAGGTGAAAGGTATGATTCTGAGCCCAAGTCGAAATGGGATGAAGAATGGGATAAAAAGAGTCCTTTTCCATTCAGTGACAAACTGGGTGAACTGAGTGACAAAATTGGAAGCACAATCGATGACACAATCAGCAAGTTCCGGAGGAAAGATAGAGAAGATTCTCCAGAAAGATGCAGGTATTTGCTGCTGATTTACCAGACTGAATCTGTTCTGTGTAACTGCTCTTTATCATTCCTTATTAGCTGTCTGCTGTTTTTTGCTACACACCTCCTCCTCGATGGGAACCATGTTTGAGCTATCAAATTCTGACTCCTTTTATGTTAGTTTGCTGGCCTAAAAGGGCTATGTAGCTGGCAGACGCTGCCCAAGAGAACAAGGGGGCTCTTTGGGCAGCATAAAGTCCATATAACTGCTTCAAGAAGCCCTTTATGCGGGGGGTCTTGGGCAAAGTAGGCAGCATGGTCAAAACGCTACGTTGTCAGCTAGCGCAGTGGACTTGTGGCATCGTTGCAGCAGCCTTGAGGCACTTTTCTCTAGTCCTAGGTACTAAGAGAGCTCCTGACTGCTGAGGAATTAGAAATAAACTGCCTGAAGCCACCTATGCTCCCACAGTTCCCTGCCTCCCTGTCTCCTCCCACAGTATTTACTGTGATTCTGTAGTGAGCAGGCCTTAGGAAGAACAGAGTGTAGCCCACTTGTTTTGATACTTGAAACAAATACATTCATTGTCAGCTAAGCCTTCTATAGAATGATATCCACTTGTTCATCTGGCCATTAAATCCTCTGCAGTAAAGAAAGAAAACTTAGATGTCTTGCCTGCAGTAAGCAGTCTAAATGTGGCACACTTCAACAGGTGCACTGAATTTTTATTATCTGGAGATCAAACCCATACTTAACAGAATCTGAAATTGCTACAGAGAAAGTGCTTAACTATATTGAAATAATTCCCTTTTGGGAAGCAGCTTAAAATTTATAGGAATTCTAATACATATTGCACTGACATTTTGTTAGCATTTTTTCCATAACAGTATGTCCAAAAAAGAAAGGTAGAAACACAAAGCAATTTAGCAGGGAAACTAAAGTAATACAAATGGCGGCACTTCTCAGAACAGGGCAGTACGGCCTTCTCACTAAGATATTAATAATCATGGAAGTGGTTGTCTGTGCACACATCAGGATTCTCTCTTAGAACTTATTAGCAATAGACTACAAAGAGATGGGATCAGAAGAAATGTAAACAAGTTCAAAGTTAACAAAGGTACCTTGATTTGAGCTTTCGTGCTTATCTTTCCAAAGCAACTAAACAAAACCATCCATAAAGTTCCTTGGTTGTAGTGCAAATAGAGAACAAACAATAAATAGGTATTTACCTTGATATTCCCTTTGTCATCTCTGCCATTGTGCATCTTTCTCATGCTCCTGCCTGCGCCTAGAAGGACCTTTATCTCAGATGATCCCCTCTCTCTGCTTTCTAATCTCTTGCTAAAACTTGTGAGTTTCTTAGCTTTTCATTGCAGGCTTTTCCACCAGTGTTTAATTTCTTTTCTTGCACACTAACCAGTCCTCAGATATAATATCTGATCTATCATGTCTCTTATTACACCCTTTGTTGCTTTTTCCCCTCTGACTCCAGTAAGATGACAGCGTTTCATTCTGTAAAGAACATAAGAGGCCATGTTAAGCAATAACCTCAGAAGTTGTGAATAACAGGTAAAAGGAGAACTTTGTGCAAAAAATCTTTTTCTAGGAAGCAAAGGTGAATACTAGGATGGGAAGTAACCCAGACTTCACCAACATGCCATATTTAATGCAGTCCAAAACGTACTCCAGAAACACCCTTCTGCCTCAGTAGTATGTATGTAGAGTAGCCTGTTCTTCTGTTTGCCAAAGGAGTGAAATCTATGGATCTGATCCCAAATTGTCCGTAGGAATCTCAAGAGATGAGATTTGTAATGCATATTAATTATATAATATCTAATTATTTACTCCCCTAACTATTGCAGAGCCATTTATTCTCATTGCTTATTTTATGTTAATTGCATACTGCGGAGAAAAAGTTCTATATAAATACTGTTCAAGGTTTAAGTGGTAAGTGGCAGAGATTGGATTTTAGTAATCATGCATGGCTTAAAACGCACATGTCTGTACGTTAAATATGAAGTCCAGATCCTTCTACCATTTCAGATTCTTGGAAATAACCTAAATGAGTTCACTTAAACATCCTCCGCACTCTATTTGCTGTCTGTCATGGTGCAGTAGTGTTGTATTAATGCACTCTTTGGCTGTGAATGCAAAGTGACTATGTGAGTGGTATTACCTCACCTCACCTCACAGATCTGCTTGGATTTTGACTCATTTGAAAGAAGCTGGTTTTTTATTTTTGTTCACATGCTTCAAGAATTGTTGGAGCATGAGAACAAAATTGGTTCATGTTTAGGAAGATGAACAGAATGAAAATAGCTGAATCTTATTAATTACTTGGACCAGAAGATCCCAGCTTGGCTCTTAGGTTCCAGGTCCAGCTTGTGGAGTTGGCAGTTAGAATTTCTTTGTTTGCCTGTTAGTATCCATTGATGGATAATATGCAATCCCACTGTGTCATTTTAGAGCCTGTTTTTAGAGTGGCATGACACTGAAGCCCATTATAGCTGTGGACAAGGTAGGGTATGCAAACACACTTTTGCAAGGTAAAGGGCAGGGACTTGTAATGTGCCACCTGCTCTGTGTTAGCTGCTTGTGTGCATCCAACTGCAAACTCAGGCTGTGGGCACACAAACAGGTTAACAGGAGATAAAGGAGGACAGGGCTTTATAGCATGTCATGGCCCATTGGAACTGAAATGGTAAAAGAGAAGAAGGCACTCCAAAAAGGGGGCACTGGGAAGTAAATGCCTTTAATCTCTTTTTATGTCCCTTGGAATCATCCCCCTCCTCCCCCCAGTCTTAAGTTAACAATCCTAGCCTTGTACTATTATTACTCTGGTCCCAGTCTTGGGTGCTGAAGCAGTATTTTACAGATTCATTGTAGGTCTATCAGTGCTTCAGTGAAATACATCCTACTCTTAATATCAATTGGGAATTTTGGAACTCTGGCCAGTCTTACTTTTTTCAAATGTCCTAGAAGCCAACAAGAGCTGGCAGCAAAATATAGCGTTTTGGTGTCTTAAAGACCGTGCCATTGTTGTGAAAGATGACCACGGTTAAAGGAGTGATGATCCCTTCTTGCAGGCTGGCTGTGTTTAGGCATTATGTCTCAAACTGCCTTCTCTAGAATCAAAGGGCCTATTTTACTGCTTTAGGGAAAGGTCAGGTTTGAAAGCAGTAAGAGAGACCAAAGGGCCAGAACTCCTACCCTGGTTGTTGTACATACATATTTCCCTTGTAAGACTCTGTTAATGATCTAGTACATTACTAGCTGAACTTCTCGGCTTTCACTTGGCAACTCTCACATGAAGCAGTGCAATGTTGTTAGGGATTTATTCCTTACATAATAAACACAATTAAATGGAACATTAACAATGAAACATTATGGTCACATTTATCTATTAGAGAAAAATCCAAACAGATCTGAGACTTTAGGTTTGAAGTAGTACAGAAATACAATACATGCATCCATTTATAAGCGACTTCTCCAGTGTCAAGGACTTTCACAAGCAGGTTAGCACTCAAGCCCCATTTTTGCTTTATAGATCTTGAATTTCTGGGAAGTGCAGCAGCAAAGATACTGTGTAGGTTGCTGAAGGGTCGTCTGCAACGCATGTACATTGGCCGCTGAGGACTGCCCCGATGTGGCTAACAGTAATTGTACTGTGATAGTGCTTAGCTCTTCTAAGTAGTTTACACACACTCAGGGAGAAACCTGTCTTTGGCCAAAAGACTTGTAGTCTAAAGCCATGTATATTCAGTATACTTTTACTGGTATAAGTGATCAGAAACTGGTCTGTACCAGTAACAGACCAGAACACACAGAGTGGTGTTAAAAATGGCAGCACCTGGTAGAAAATTTGCCTCCCTCCGTCCCCCCATCTCCCCCTTTCATCCCCCCCCCCCCCCAGGAC